CTGGCAGGTGTGGGACGTGCGACAGGGACACAGGGCTGTAAGCGTGAGTGAGGTGCCTGGTGAGAGGCCCTGGCGGGCCTAGGATGTGGACAGACAGGAGCTACTCCGTGATACAGTACAGGGAAGGTGTCAGGTCCTGCATAATCTCCCCAACGCACGCAGACACACAGAGATGCTTCATAACTCAACTGATCGTGTGTTCTTTCAAATTTCTTGTAGAAACATTGTCTCCACGGTGAATCTTGGATGTAAACTTGACCTAAAGACCATTGCACTTCGTGCTCGAAATGCGGAATACAACCCCAAGGTGAGAGCCTTGTTGCCTGTTAACAGCGTGACGTGCCAGGAATCTCTGTCTGAAGGCCAGGGGTGTGTGAGGACCTAAGGCTAGACACCATGCCTTTTATTGGTGACCTTTAACTGGTAGGATTTACTTGCCTGATGTTTTGAGTGTCTGCCATGTGACAGGCCCTGTCTTCACGAGCTCCTTCTTGAGCCCACATCTGTGTCTGAAAACTGTAAGGACAGATTGCTCCAAAGTAACCTGGCAGGGAGCTGGGGGTGGGGTACAGGGAGGAGACAAGACTGGCCGGGAGGTGACAGTGGAGTCGGGCTGTGAGAGGAGGTTGGTTTCCCACGAGGGAAGGAGGGATGACTGCCCTGCCGGTTCCCAGCCCGGCCACACGCTGGGGCTGTGACAAGGCACGGTCAGTGGGCGTGACGGAGACGCCCACTGAGGCGGTGGGCGCAGAGCCTCTGACGTGGGAGATCTGGTTAAAGGGGTGCCTCTAACCAAGGGCAGGAGGGCTTAGGCCATGTTACCTTTGAGGAAGTGAAGAGCTATGTGACTGCATGCCAGGAGAGGGTATTGAGGAAATTCCAAGTCGTGGCCTCTGAAGGCTGTGTCTGTGTGGGGGAAAGTCGGAGAGACGCAGCGGCTTTAAGTAAGGCTGTGTGTCTGTCAGATGGTCGCCTCGAGGAGGGACGTCGCATCTGCTTTTTCTTAACGTGGGTACGTATATGGACGTTTAAAGTTATTCAAAGGAATTGGCCACTTCTGACATAATTGAGTAAGCACAGCCACAGTTAAAACAGTTCAGCCCACAGTTAAAATATTCTTTCCACTTTTGGCAACAAACAGTTCTCTGAGGAGCCAACCTATTTAAAATACCAATAGCAGGAACTGAAAGTAGACTGAGCCTATCTTTATGGGGTGTCCCACGTTGGGGCTGATTCCGAGTCAGTAAGGGGCCTCCCCACAGCAGACACTTAGATCCGACCCAGTCCCTCCAGAGGCAGAAAAGGCCTGCTGACCCTCAAGTCCCTGTTCCTAGGACACCCTGCCAGTTACCCACAGGCGCGAGAGCCGGCAGGGTTGGGAGGGTCTGGGCTTCCAGCAGGCATTCCACAGCCGCGGCAGTATGTGAGGTGTGGGTCTGGGGCATGGGTCTGGGCTGGTTCCACCACCACTCGGCCCTGGAGGTGACTTCGCTAACCCCGTTCTCTGGCCTCCAGCGGTTTGCTGCCGTGATCATGAGGATTCGAGAGCCTCGGACCACGGCGCTCATCTTCAGCTCTGGGAAGATGGTATGCACTGGTGCCAAGAGGTAGGTGCAGCCTCGGTGTTGGCAGGTGGCCACAGCGTTGTGTGGGTGCTGGATGATTAGAGAGCTGGACCTAACAAAGCTCCCCTGCAGCTGGAGAGAAACGGGTCAGGAGCCATAGGGCTGTGGCTGTCAGTCACGGGGTGGGGTCATGCTAAGACATGGACCCCTCTGAAAACATGCCTGTGCCCAGCAATGTGCCTGACTGACAGATGAAAGTGGGCGACAGAAAGCCTGAGATGGAGTGAACAAAGGCAGATGTGGTCATTAGAGATGGTTATGGTGTATGGGCAGGTGCCGGCCCGCCCTCCACGTGGCCCAGGCATACAGCAGGCCTGTCTTCTGTTTCTCCAGATGGGGACAGAAGCAGCTGCTGCGTTGATGTGTGTCAGACATCCACGTGGCATCCAGCCCTTTGTCCCAGAGGACTTGCAGATGGAAGGCTGTCCTGGGTACCATGGTTATTTTACCAAAATAAGAACCACGGTTAACCTGCTTTCCCCAGGAGAAGAGCAGCACCAGCCACTGCTGGTGCCCTTGTCATCCCTCCTTCGCGGGCTGTGCTCCATGTGTCACAGCTGCTCCCTTCTCCTCTTTTACGAGCTCCGTGCTGCCAGTTCAGCGTCTTTGCCAACAGATGAGGGCCTGGGGTACATACACAGCCTCACTGGGGAGGACACGGGGCTGATGCCTCGCCGGGGAGGACAGGGGTCCATTCACAGCCTCGCCGGGGAGGACACGGGGTCCATACACAGTCTCGCGGGGGAGCACACAGTGGACGGCTCACTGGGGAGGACACGGGGTAGACGGTGCACTGGGGACGGCATGGGGTACATATACAGCCTCGCTGGGGGGGGGACAGGGCGGGTAGCTCCCCGGGGAGAACCCAGGTGGACAGCTCGCTGGGGAGGGGTCAGGGCATAGAGCCTGGCTGGAACTGACTGTGCCTTGTCCCGAGTGCGCCCTGCACCACTCTTGCAGACACAGGCATTTGGTCTCCATGGAGATTGTGTGTGAAATATCGTGGCGATGACGAGGCCACGTCTCACATGCATGAAGCCCAGGCCTCGGGAGCGTGGGGAACAGAAAGGGCCCTGCTGGGCCGGGAGTGCCCCGTTTCTCCTGCTGGGAAAGAGCGGCCAGCTTACAGTGTTTTCCTTCATTTGGACTTTTTACGAGTCATTTACAAGCTGTTCATCTAGCTTACTGTCTCATCAGCCTGGAGGGTAAACCCTGCACGTATTTCTCCTCAGTGAAGAGCTGTCCAGGCTGGCGGCACGTAAGTACGCCAGGGTGGTGCAGAAGCTGGGCTTTCCGGCCAAATTCCTGGACTTCAAGATCCAGAACATGGTGGGCAGCTGCGACGTGAAGTTCCCCATCCGCCTGGAGGGCCTGGTGCTCACCCACCAGCAGTTCAGCAGGTGAGCGCTGTGCACCCGCGCACCACGTGGCGGGCCTGTACCCCGGCGAGGCCTCAGCCGGGGTTCTCTCTGCCCGCTTCTCCCCACGTGACACACGGGCTGGTGTGCGGACAGCTCAGTGCTCCGTCCCCAGCACGGCCTCCGCCGGGGTCCCCTCCGTGACACGGGAAACCCTTGCCCAGCACACCTGATGCCTCTCCTGCGCTTCTTGACCACGTCTGTGCCCAGGGAACAGAGCTTAAAGAACGCCTCGGGCCCGTGGCTCTCGTAGCCGTCTTACCGGTTTTCAGAGCCTTTTTCCTCGTCCGTGTTGTAAGAGCAGTGGCAGTGACCCCCAGTGACAGCAGTATCCCTCTACCTACTTTCCTTACTGCTTCTCAGGGAGGATTGAAAAGGCAAAGGCCCTGGCCTGCTGGGTCCCCCGGCCAAGACGTGCCTCAGGCCCCTGGGCTTCTTGCTGAGCGTGGAAACCATGCTGGCGCCCTGCCCTGCTGGGTCCCCTGGCCGAGACGTGCCTCAGGCCCCTGGGCTTCTTGGTGGGTGTGGAAACCATGCCGGCCTCCTGCCCCACTTGGGTCCCCCGGCCGAGCCGTGTTCCACAGCCCAGCTCCTGGGTCAGACCAAAGAGGCCGGTTGGGTCAGGATGTGGTGGAGCTTCATGCTCAAGCCAGCGTCTGCATTTCCTCTCGGCTGGTGACCAGCGTTTACAGCTCGATAGCATCTTGTGTGAGGGACACGGGAGCGAGGAGCAGACTTCAGTGTCTTAGGCCTTAAGGATCCATTGCCGTGACCCAGGATGTGGAGAGGGTGGCAACAGGCAGGCTGGTCGGCTGTGCAGTCAGTGGTCGGTCTGCTGGGAGCAGCCGTGCACACCCGGGCTTCCCCGGGCCTGGAAGCATGGCCCTCGGGGCTGCTCACCTGCCTGCTGGGTCTTTGGTTTTCAGCTACGAACCAGAGCTGTTCCCAGGGTTAATCTACAGAATGATCAAGCCCAGGATTGTTCTCCTGATTTTTGTTTCGGGAAAAGTTGTGTTAACAGGTGAGTCATGACATCACGTCCTGTTTCATGGGGCGAGCCTGTGCTAGGACTTGGGGTGGCTCCGGGAGCTGGGGTGGCCCTCGGGGGCAGGATCATCTGGGAGGAGCAGGGGTGGCTTCGGGAGCCGGGGTCGCCCTCGGGGGTGGGGTCGTCTGGGAGCCCGTGTGTACCAGCAGTGTCATCATGAGGCCGGAGGGGGGCTTAGGGGGCTGGTTGGGGGGAGCCGTCAGAGGCCGCCTTTCTGGCTGCCTCACCGTGGTGCTGTGGGAGACGCATCTGGCCCCTGCTCTGAATTAAGTTGGAGGAGTGTTTCGTTTTAAAAGCGATAGGCTTGTGAGCAGGGATGCCGTGGCTCGGTGCCTGCGTCTGCTCACCCGACGGTGTGGAGACTTGGGGTTAGTTCTCGCGCAGCAGTTCTCCAGGGCAGCACATTGAGATAGGAAATCCACCCCCTGCCCAGGTGCTAAAGTCCGAGCCGAGATCTACGAGGCCTTCGAGAACATCTACCCGATTCTGAAAGGGTTCCGGAAGACGACGTGACGGCTCGTGCACGCCCGCACCCCCTCGTCCCCAGCGGGTTCCTGCGACGGCTCAGGCTCCAGGCCGACCGACTGCACGTGACCCTGGGGCCACTGCACAGGGTGCCGTTTGCCGAGTTGCAGGTGAACGGTCCCTGCTGCCGACCAGGCGGCTGAAGGGGCGTCCAGAGTTAGCCACCCTGCGATAGATTGGACTTTTTCATTGTTTGGTTTTTCCCATGAGCCAGTTTTTGTATTTCTTCAGGCAAGTAAAGATCTTTTTTAAACATTTTGTTTCTCCGGTTTGGACGCCTAGGGTGGTTCAGCATCAGCCATCTGCCCCGGGGCGGGACAGTCGCTGCCCACACTGTTTTCGGAGTGCGTCATAAAACACGCTGCTCCCGGCAGAGTCAGACTATGGTCAGGGGCACTCTGACTTGTGGGCTGCCGCTGCAGGACACATCCTAAAACCACCTGTGTTTTGCTGTTTTAATCCACATTTCATGCTGGTCACAATACAGGATAAACTGCCCAGAAATGAGTGACCTGGCATGTCCTCCAGTCGCCCTGGGCTCTCTCACCATAGTCACAGGGACTTGCCAGCACTCGATCCTTCCAGTAAAGTGGTTTTGAAAGGAGCCTACCCCAGCCTCCAGGATCCTGAGATCAGGAGATGGTGCCCAGTGACCACGGCCCACTCTGAAAGGGGCACTAGGAGGTCCTTTGTTGTTATGTGCTATTGAGTTGGACCCGACTCATAGTGACCCCTCCTTGGGTTTCCCGAGGCAGTATCACTACGGAAGTAGATTACCCCATCTTCCTTCCGAGGATTGACTGGTGGGTTTGAACCGCCAGCCTTCTAGTTAGCAGTCAAGTGCCTTAGGCACTATGCTGCCAGAGCTCCCAGGGGGTCCTAGCAGATGGGAAACCACTGACCAAAACCCCAAATTAAGAGAAAGATGGCTGGAAGCCCTGAGACTGGCCCTTAGACACTTTTCAGGCCTGGAACTGAACTCACCCCATGGCTCCATTTCCAGCTGACCGACAGGCTCCAGGGCGGACAGTAACACCAGGGAGGCAGGCAGCCCTGAGGACAGACACCCGAGAGCCACAGGGCAGCAGCCACAGGGCAGCGTGTGCCTACAGATGAAGCTGGGACGCAGCTGGAGGGAGAGGGAAGACGGTGGGTGGAAACAGCAGGGAGCAAGGGTAGCAGCACTGTCACACCGGAGGGACTGCAGGCAGCGTCACCACCGTGGCCCACGCGTGCGGTGTAACTTACGTGCACGCCTAGCATCTGTACCAAGCACATGCGCACATGCACGTGCAGTCAGGCCTGGGGCTTCTGAGCTGCACACACTGTCCCGCCAGGTGGGCAGGGAGAATGCCAGGCCTGGGGGATGGGCTATAGGCTCAGAGGAGGGACACAGTGGTCAGAGGTGCTGGGCGGCCGTCATTAACGTGAAGAGGAACCACAGTAAAACTTCAAGGCCAGATGACCCCTCACTGGTTCAGAGCACGGGCTGAGACCGCGCGCATGCAGCACCCAGAGCAGACCCCCGACCCCTGACGGCCGCTTCAGGACCACCAGCCCTGTAGCGCACTGGGGCTGAGCGCTGCAGCTGCCCTGTCCAGCTTCCCATCTGGCCGCCTGGTGATCACTGGCCCGGGTCTCCCCTATGGTGGGTGGGTGCTGACCCAGGCCTGTCAGCTGAAGCCTCATTTCAAAGGAGTTTGCTAACCTCCAATCGCCATTTCCCCTGGTCCCTGCTTCGCAACCACAGCGCTATGGTCCATGTCCCCAGACCCCTTCCCACCAATGCTCCTGTCTCCAGAACTGGTCCCCTTTACCCATGACCCTGACCCCCATTCTCTCACTTCTGTAGCCCATTTGCTCAGGTGCCGCACCCTCACAGCCCACCCTGGGCCCCAGCAACTTGGGCTCCCACACCCGCCAGCCGGCATTAGGCATTAGTCTGTGTGTGTCTAATACTGTTTTAACTTTGTAAACTGCAGGGAGATGGAAATCCCCTCAGAACGTCTGACCAAATAAAGCACATAATCCTTACTTATCACCGAGTGAACTCACAGGCGAGGCCCCCAGTTCCCCACGGGGCAGATGACAGCTGTCCTTCTGTTGCTGCCCACACTGCAGGCCACCCAGTGACTCAGGCCGGCTTCATGGAGACCGTGTCCCAGTCACTGGCCATTTCTTCTTTTAAAAATTTTTATTGTCATTTCGGTGCAAGTTTACAGAGCATATTCACTTTCCATACAGCTGTTCATACACACTTTGTCTCATGACATTGACTGCAATGTCCCACAGGGCAACAGCTCCCCTCCCACTTCCTCCCGATAGTCACCTCTTCCATGTCCTTCCCTCCCTGCACTCCTGCCCCCTAAACTGTCTTCTTGTACATAAACAGTCCTTCTTTCTCCCATGATTGATCCCTCCAAGGACTGTATCTACCTGATGTAAATGTCACTCCATATGCCTGTCTTACTTGGCTGGAAGCCACAGAAGTGGGTTCAATTCCAGACCTGAAGGGCAGCGAGGGGCCATAGTCTCGGGTTCCACCAGGCTCCATCAGACCACCAAACCTGGACCTTTTTTTAAAAAAGTGATTTTGAGCGTGCTCCTCAGTGGCTGTTTCCGTCTCACTAACGTTCAGATGTCGTAAGCATGCCCCAGGCGGCCTGTGCCCTGCTTGCCGGCAGCCCTGCCTCCCCGGGACACCCTCCTAGGCTGTGGCGCTCACGTCCTGCTTCCACACGAACTCTTCCGCATAGCCGGCACCCAGCGTGCAGCTGTCTGCGCAGGTGAAGACAGCCAAGACGCCCCAGTCAATGCTCCGGCCCAGGCTGTCGGCCTTGAGGAGGTTGAGCAACTGTGGCATGACCTGGGGGGAGGACGCTTGTGAGGGGCGGGAAGCCCAGGCCCCTACACCCTTCTGGACCACCACCTCCAGGTGTCTCCCCTTTCCACGTGAGACAAGCAGCTCTCTGCTGAACTGCAGCTTCAACTTGGCAATGCTCATCTGTGTCACTTCAGAAGATTCCCAACTAGGGGGCCCACCGGGGAGCTGTGATGTCAGCATAGCCAGGGAGGGGCCTTGGAGGCCTGCTGTTAACCTACTCCCTGTCACCCAGAGAAGCAGATGGCTATCCCTCACTGTTTCCTCATTCCGTGAACCCACCACTCAAGGGTAATTCCCCCCACAAGTGGATATGATGCTCTGCACCCCTCTGCACAAAAGCATCATCTCAGTGCCCAGTGGGACACAGAGCACCCACCTCCACTCCCCCCTCCAGGATTTCCTGGGCAGGTGCTTTCCCACTGGCCTTGCGAGCAGCTGTCAGGAGGGGACCTGGAACTGCTGGAGATGGAAGGAAGGGATATGCATTCTCACAGGGCCCCACAGGAGGAGGGAAATGCATCCTGAAGTGAGACTACAACAGTTTTGTCCCTTTCTGCTTTTTTACTGGACGTGAACCTTGGGGGATGATTTCCAGGTTCCTGTGTGTTACATGTAGGTTGCCTTTTTGGTGGTGATTCCATGTCTGTGTGAGTAACACGTGCAGATGCCCTACATGTAGGCACCTGTCAAGAGATCTCAGACAAGCAGTGCAGAGTCCAGAGGGACATGTGCGTCCTACACAGTTAAGTACCAAAAGCCAAATCTCATAATAAAATTTTAGGACTGCTGCCTGATTCAGCATGCCGTCTGTGAGTGAGAAAACATGGTATCAGTGAAAACTCAAAGCAGGAAAGAACTGACCACTAAGAGTGGGCTGTGGACACTTATGGCAGAGCCCGCGTGTGGGCTGAGCTGGACCTGCAGATGTCCACCCGGGAGCAGGGTGTCGGGTCTCTGAATGGAGCCATGCTGGCGGCTGCCTGACGCCAACCAGCTCAGGCACAGCACAGAGGGAGGGCCCGTGCGAGGACAGGGGTGCCAGAGAAGCCAAGGGCAAAGACCTGGCCCTGGAGCCGGCACCCGAATTTGGACCGCCAGCCTCCGGGACCGTGAGGAAAAGAGTTTCTGTTCACCGTGGCCGTGGACCTGTGGTGTTTCTGTTACAGCAGCATTGGCAGGCTGAGACAGGAATGTGTTGTCTGGCACAAGTTGGCAGCAGGAGCACTAAGACCAATGGCACCACCACCTCGCGGTAGGGGAAAGGCACGGTGTCAATGGCCGTTATCGCAGAGGTGAGGCAACAGACGGACAGTCACAACAGGAGTGTATCCCAGAGGCAGGGTACTTTCCAGAAAAGAGGGAAGATGACTCCCTCGGGAACAGGCAGGAGGTGTAGGGAACCCCATCTTAACCACAGGGCGCCTCCACACACCCCAACTGCGGACTGTGTAACTTCAAGAACGTTTACGTGTCTGGAAACGTACCAGGGTGCTCACAACTTTAAGGTCCTACCTGGAATTCAAAGACTCTCTTGGCACCACAAGGACAGTTTGGGATATCCTCTTCCTGAGGGACATTGTCAGCAGAGATCCAGACGGGGGCCGCCCCACGGCCATACCTGAGAATCTGAAACGAGCCAGGATCCCAGTCAGACACCAGCGTTTTACCTGGAAGCTGCCGAGAGGCACACACGTTTGACAGGGTGAAGGGAAGCCAGGCTGCAGGCACGTGGGACCAGCGGCCAGCTCACGTCCTCTCAGCACGTGCCCTTCACCCAAGCACCATCCCCTCACCAGGCCTCATGTGCCAACCTGCACGGAGGACACTGAGCACCTACACTGTAGCCAGAAGTCAGTTCCTCCACAAATCACACAGAAGGGGCCTGGTCTAGCTGGTTCCCTGTGGGATGACCATGGCACAGACACAGGAGAAATCGGGCAGGACAAGTACCCAGGGAGACACGGTGTTTGGGTAAAATTAAAGCCACAAGTGGACATGGTGATAATAAGCCACCAGCTGTCAAGAACACACCTGCTGCAGAAAGCCACCTCGGCCCGTCCAGCTCGAAGGCCCAGTGTGTACTGGACTCGGGGCCTGGCTCCCGGGGATTCAGCTGTGTTCCCTGCAAGGTTGTTACGTTTGTGAGGAGGGATGTTAAAGGGCACATCCTGATGGAGGAACAGGGTGGAGGGAGTCACACGTGTGCTGAACGCTCAACAAGGTCGGACCCTGTGTTTCCACACTTGGTGGGTGAGATGACACCAAGGGAGGGGACACGACACGTGTACTGAACAGTCACTCCGCCCAGACCCCGTGTTTCCACACCTGGTGGGTGAGGTGACACAGGAGGCTAAGAAACAATGTGGGAGGCCGCTGAGTCCTTGCAACTCCAAAGCCTGTATTCTGTTCACAAGACCAGGGTCTCTGTTCTGTGTTGGAAATGGGGCAAAAAGATTGTTTGCCCATGCCCCCTGTGCTTAGCAGAAACATACTCAATGTATCAAACCCTAGAGGATGTTAGCCTTGCAATAGCTGTCCAGTGCATCAATACTGCCAATCTCTCTCTCCAGACAGGCTGTGATGGGACAGCACAGGCAGCTGCAAGGGACAGAACACCTGGCCATGGTCCCTTCTCATGAAGGACACCTTTACAAAGTGCCACCCGAGACCGAGTAAGCAAGAGCGTGAGTCCGGGCTTACCTGCTCGGGTTCCAGGGCTATCTGCCTTTTAAACTTCTGAAAAATTTTATCTTCCCTGGACTCATGCTTTGCCATGGATTCCAACTCTTCCGCCAGCACATCCCCTGAAAAATCACAACACAGTCACTGAGGTGGGATGAGTGCCCAAAGCTCGACCACACGCGTGTACGTCCTGCCCCATCCTCACGACCCTTGCTGCGCCCGAGCCCACTGGTGCAGCCACCGTGTCCATCCAGCTCGTGGAGGGCCTCCCCCCCCTTTTCTGCTGACCCTCTGCTTCACCAAGCATGGTCCCTATCCAGGGACTGGTCTGTGCAGATGCTGTGGGGAGGCCTCTGACCTCCTCTAAAGTCACATGGGGGGAGAAGGAGCCTCATCAGCAGCCCAAGGCTGATCCCTATGAAGCAGAGGTCAGATGTGCTGCCACCCTCCAACCTTGACACCAATTCTGACACCAACCGTCCCTTCCACGGCACGCTCTGCTTCTCTGCGGGGTTTGATAGTTCACTGCAATGGGCACAAAGAACTCACAGACCACACTCAGAGTTACGGGGTTTATCAGGGAAGCAACTGGTTACAATTTAGGTTCAGGAACACAGTCAGGACACAACTGTTGATCAGGACAGCCTCTTCTCAGTTGTGCCTCAGGCCTGCAGGCCCCTGGTCTGGCCTCTGTCCTGCCCGGCCGAGTGTTACGACGCTCTCTTAGCTCCGCTGTCCCTCCACTCCACCAGAAGCTTCAGCCCGGAGACACTCGGCTTTCTCACTGGGTGCGCCCAGAAGCCCACCATGGGCCAGGAGACTACTGTCTCCGGCCAGGTCTCCTGGATCTGCTGCTGCCATTTCTCACCATCTCAGCAAGGTTTTGGAACTCTGTCTCCTGGGACAAGGAGGTTCTCAGCTCAGGGAGCCTGGCTTCCAAGTACACGCTCCACTCCTGGTTCTTCTTTCTTGGTGGTTGTGAGGTCCCCTTGTCTGCCTCTGGGAGGGCTCATTTTAAGCTAGCAGGAGGGCCAAACTGACCAGTCCCTCGTCAGGGTTCCACACACCTTATCTGCATAGTTCTACCCCACAAGGGTGCTATGCACCTCACCTGTGTTATCAGCAAGCTGGTCAAGCCCCTGGTAGGCCTCACGCACTTGCACATTTGGATACTCCCACCCAGCCAATTGGTAGGTGTTACAAAGGCCATGGCTAGAATGGCCCTGTTACCAGAGCCGTCAAGGGAAACGCTAATGCCAGGCAGGATAGTTTAAAAAAAAAACCCTTTTATTTCTGTGTTGCTAGCACACACTCAACGGATTCGCATGCAGAGACTGAGCCCGAACAAAGATCACATGGGGTTTTTATGGGGTCATTCTTCCAGATACTCGGGGTGAGAGGGTGACTGGTTACCTGTAAAAAGAGCACCTGCAGCTGGCGGTTTCAACAGAAGTTGAACCTGCCCGAGCGTAAGAGAGGAGGGGGCGCAGGTCAGAGGAAGAAGGCAGAGGGAGCAGGGCAGAGCAATTTCCACTCTCTGCACATGGTTTTTCAAACTGGCTCGAGCCACATGCCTCTGGCCTCACAAGTTGTTTCACTGCTCAGTAGAACTTCTCCACTTGGGTTGGGCAAAGGTTATAATTCCCTCATTTCCCTCTCCTGCCTCATGACTACTTCAATCTTTTCTCCATTTATCATGATGTTGCTTATTCATCCAATTGTGACAATTTTTGTTTTATGTTAATGTATAATCCTTACCGAAGGCTGTAATTGTTAATCTTCATCAGTTAAGTGCTTCAAGTCGTCTTCACTTTGAGAAAGCAAGGTTGTGTCATCTGCACATCACAGGCTGTTACCGAGTCTTCCTCCAATCCTGATGTGTATTTTTTCTTACACAGTCCCACTTACTGGATTTATTTGCTCAGCCTGTGGATTAAGTAAGTGTAGTTAAAGGATACAACCCTGATGCACACCTTCCCTGATTTTAAATGCAGGATCCCCTTGCTCTGTTTGAACGACAGCCTCCTGGTCTATGTACAGGTTCCTGATGAGCAACATCAAGTGCTCTGGGATGCCCATTCTTCTCAATGGTATCCACAATTTTATGATCCACACAGTCGAATGCCTTTGTGTAGTCAATAAAACAAGTAAACGTCTTTCTGGCATTCTCTGCTTTCAGCCAAGAGCCATCGGACATCAGCAATGACATCCCTCATTCCACGTCCTTTTCAGCCTCCAGTGTGCATTTTTGGAAATTCTCTATGTACCGGTGCAACTGCTTTTGAATTCTCCTCAGAGAAGTTTTACTTGTGTGTGATATTAATGATATTGTTCAATAATTTCCACATTCTGTGGGATCACCTTTCTTTGGAATGGGCACAAATATGGATCTCTTCCAGTCTGTTGGCCAGGTAGCTGTCTTCCAAATTTCTTGGCATAGATGAGTGCACTACATCCGTTTATCAAAACATCTCAATGAGTATTCCGTCAATTCTTGGAGACTTGTGTTCTGCCAATGCCATCAGGGAACGGAACCTTTGACTTCATCCTTCAACACCATTAGTTCTTGATCATACGCTACCTCCTGAGATGGCTGATTGTCACCAATTCTTTTTGGTACAGTGACTGTGTGCTATTTTTACCTATTTCTGATCCTTCCTGGGTCATTCGATATAAATCTAAAGACCACCTCGAGAAAAGATCTGATGTACTAAACACTACTGACCAAATGCTAGGCAAGTTGTGGCAACATCTAGGACACTATACATGAAAAAAGCAAAAGGTCATTAAAAAAGACGGGCAAAAAAAGACCAACATGGATGTGAGAGAGCCTCTGAAACTTGCTCTTGAATGAAGAGCAGGAAGTGAAAGCATGAGATGATGACGTCAGAGAGCTGAGCACAAGCCGCCAAAGGGCAGCTCGAGAAAACGAAGCAGCAAATGTGCAAAAGAGCTGGAGTTAGAAAACTCAAAGGGAGGAACATGTTCGGCATTTCTTAAGGTAAAAACAAAATTAATGAAAAGAATTCAAGCCTCAAGTTGTAAGACTGTAGGATCTCAGGGTCTAAGGGCTAGATGTACACATTCAGGGACTGGCTCTTGGGGGAGGTCCTTGTTTCTCCTCCACTCTGTTCTTAGGCCATCAAGGGCCTGCACCTTCCCCACTCTTCTGTGCCTTCTTGCTTAACCTGCTGTTTTACAGCTCAAAAGAGACATTTAAGATGCACCTACACTAGCATGAGCTCACGAACACGACAGAGAGAACAGTCCTAAATGGGATGTGGGCAACAAATACCACGTGGGGACCAGGACCACGGATGCAGGGTGACGTACGACACAGGGACCACGACCACGGGTGCAGGGTGACATATGGCACAGGGACCATGACCATGGATGCAGTGCGAAATACAACACAGGGACCATGACCACGGGTGCACTATCATGTACCATACAGAGACCATGACCACAGGTTCCACGACAGGTACCACACCAGGACCATGACCACAGGTGCAGCATCACATACAATACAGAAACCATGACCACAGCTTCTATGACACGGAGACCATGACCAAAGTTAAGTGACATGTATGACATGGGAATCATGGACACAGGTGCAGTGTGACATACAACAGAGACCATGACCATAGGTTAAGTGACATGTATGACATGGGAACCATAACTGTGTGTAGGGTGACGTACAACATGGAAATCATGACCACAGGTTAAGTGACATGTATGACACAGGAACCATAACTACAGGTGCAGTGTGACATACAACACGAAGACCATGACCACAGCTTCAGTGACACACATGACAAAGGAACCATGACCACAGGTGCAGTGTGACGTATAACATGGAGAACATAATCACAGGATTGGTGACATGTATGACACAGGGATCACGACCATAGCTTCCATGACATGGGAACCATGAGCACAGGGGCAGTGTGACATACATGGAGAACATGACCACAGGTTCAGTGACATATGACATGGGAACCATGAACATGGGTGTAGTGTGACATACAACACAGAGACCATGACCACAGGCTCTGTGACACGTATGACACAGGGACCATGCCCATGCTGCAGCATTACATACAATATTGAGACTATAACCGTAGGTTTGGTGACACATACGACAGGGAACTACAACCATGGGTGTAGTGTGACATATAACATGGAGACCATGACCACAGGTTCTGTGACATGTATGACACAGGGACCACGACCACGGGTGGAGTGTCATATACATGGAGACCATGACCACAGGACATGACCTGTCATGTATGCCATGGGGACCATGACTCTGGAAATCCTCATGATGCTTTATCCTTTGTGAAAGTAGTACACACAAGTAAACCACCACGCATCAACCATGTCCTCACTCTCTCGTGGCAGTCGGGTCTCCTGTGGGTCAGTGCTCCAAGTGCTCAGAGTGTGAGCCGCCAGCCCAGGCCCACGCCAGGACCCTAGCATGCCTGCTGTGCAGTAAGCGACTTGCATAAAGTACAAGTTCACAAAGTGACCTTGAACTTAAAGGCCAAGCTGGATATTGTAGGAATTCCTATTGAGGAAATAGAGCCAGCTCAAAATCCAGTTCTGATCCTAGTCATGTGGGCAGGCATCACTCAGGACAGCAGAGGGCTCTCCTGGGAGATGTGCACCACTATCAACCAGGCTGCAGGCAGGATGTGAACGAGACAGCGTTCGGTGGCCTGGGTGCCAGCAGGAGGTTGCAGGCACAGGGCTACAGGTATGAACGCATTTCCCAGGTGACTGCACCAGAAACCCACAGCCAGGAAGTAGCAGAGAGCACTCCCTCAGGGTTCTCGCCACAGGCCATCACTGCACCAAGCGCCCCCAGGACCTCCTCCATTATGAGAGGGACCTTGGCTGGGGGGAGGCACCTGGTGTCTGCTGTCATGTGCGCCTCACCGATCTAGACACCCCCTTCCGAGCTGTCTCCACAGGGAGCTGGACCAGTGTCAGGGCCGGGGGCAGGAAGCTGGTCCCCTCTGTGCTATGTGGAATCACCTGCCGCCCTCCCACCCATCTCGGCCTGCCGAGAGCATCCTTCCCGACTTCAGCTGAACCACTCAGTGAGCGACTTCTGAGACTGCCCCCTTACCCACACTCCCTGCAGGCTCCACGTCGTCGTCCTCATCTAGAACGTCAGGAGGGACCTCGTCCTCTGTCTCTCTCACAATCTCATATTCTGGAAAAAGGAAGCCGTGGTCTGGAATCTTGTCGCCCAGCTCACCTGAAACAAGGTGGTTGTGTCAGCAGCAGCTGTTCAGCTTGCGGTATCCAGGAACCCCAATTCCTAAGAGACCATGCTCCCTAGCCTAACACTTTTCCTTAAAATTAACACATGCAGTTTCTGTAGTTTGAGCAAAGATGTCACCTTCAAGACGAAAATGCCATGGCATTTTCATTTGCCTCATATGCATACAAAAGCTGGACAGTGAACAAGAAAGACATAAAAGTTGACAGCGTGGAATTGTGGTGTTGGCAAAAAAAATGAATGCACCATGGGTGCCAGAAAAACGAACAAATGCTCCTTAGAAGTGAGAATGGCCAGACTTCACCTCTCATACTTTGGTCACGTTGTTACAAAGGACCATTCCTGAAGAAGGACATAGTGTTTGATAAATGGTCAGCCAAGAGGGGGAAGACCCTCAATGAGATGGGTTGACACAATGGCTGTGACAACAGGCTCAAGCATAGCAATGTGATGATAGGTCAGGAGCAGGCAGTGTTTCATTCTGTTGTAAGTAGGGTCACTGTAAGTCAGAAACAACTCAATGACACCTAACAACAAAAAAAGTTGTTACATTTTAGGTAAGGTTGCTAAGTTCAATATCCACGCCAGGGCGAGGCTGGTGCACACATAAGCAGCCACTGGGTCTCAGAAACCGTTGGTGCCCCACCTGTCTGTCCGTTTGTCCTAGTGACATGTGCACAGAAGTGTTTATCCACCACAAAAACAAAACGCGAGCAAGATAGGAACAGGGGAGTGCCGCAGCCGGGGAGCCGTTTCCCATCAGCACGGCCCCTCTTCTTCCGTAACAAACCAACCTCTGTTGCTCAGAGGGTCACAGGGCCCCCCAGGACACACACAGGCCCGAGTCTCTGTGCCCTCGGGTGGCTGTGTCGCCAAGCCCTGAGCTACAGTGTGGAAGCACAGCGGGTGCTGAGACTTACAGGAAGCGTCCTGAGGGAGAGGCTCAGGCTGTCTCGCCCCCTTTCCCCGCGCACCCGGAGTGCGGACCTGATGGCTGGAGCCGCAGCAGGTACCACGGGCCAGGAGCAACCCCAGAAACCGAAGACACACGAGGTGGAAGGAGCGTGAGCCCACACACGGTGGAGCGCTGTGCCACGCAGTCTGACCACCACCAGCCCCTCATGACAGAACTAAACCCAATCTTAGTTAAATCACCTCACTGTAGGCTTACTGTAGTCACCAGTACCATGTGATAAAGGACATCAGGAGACCAGAAGGTGACGAGAGAATACACAGGTCTGCTGGGAACAGCTGGTCTGCAACTAAGAGAGCTGTGGCCCCGTGGGAGGCGAGTCCAGCACGGTCAGGTCTTCAAGCTTTTAAAGAACCCAAGAGTCCTGATCTCTTACACGGCCATGTGCACGGAGCATGAAGCATGCCGCATGCCAT